GTCTATTTGCGGAGTCAAGACACTTAACATCGATTAACTTCGATATGAGCGGTTTCCACCTTGGTACTTGACCATGCAAATTATTGCTCCCTAGTATTTTGGCCACAATTTCGACACTAATTTTAATTCACAGGACTGTCCTGAGTTCGTTGTTAATTTTTGGAGCTGATAGATGAAGGTTCCTTCGGTATTTCCTCAGTATTTCTCTGTCGTCCTGTATTCACAGCAGTTTTGGACGACTTGATAATGGTAAATACTCGATGGAATTCTTTGTTCCATGCGTGTAATGACAAAATATATTGTCGATGGGAATCTATCAAGCATTTCCTATATGCATTTAATTGATCGGCCTTGATTCTTTGAACAATTTAAGGGCTTACACAGGAAGGATTTACAACATAATTATGCAAATTTCCAAAAAATATAATGTTAAATATTCCATATAACCACTACCTGCATAATGGGTTAATTAATGGGCAATAAAACACGTGTTCAAGGATTCTAAAAAAGTACTTCTTAGAAAATTCGAATATTTTTGCGCAGTACCTGAAATGACCCTTTTTGGGTTTTTTCCATTTTCTTGGAAACCATGAATGAGTTTTTATTACTTTTTTCTTGTATTTCGTAAAAATAATATAAATTACAGCCTGTTTTTCTAAAACAATTTAGTTCTCACACGAACATTTCATTTTATTACGATCAAGTTTAAAATTAGGTTTTTATAAAACATTTGAAAGTTTTCGTTTAAAAATGTCTAAAATGAAATGAGCTTTTTCTATCGTAACAGAACATTATTGCCTACGTATTTCATTTCTGAATTTTTAAATATTTGTTCATGTAGTAATAAGGTGTTTGGTGTTAACCCTAAAAAATAAACAAAAATAAAATAATTTTAGAAAAAAATTGAAATTATGAAAAAATGTTTTTTTAAAAGCAACATGAAAATTGTATGCAATGTATCAAGAAATTTAAAGGTTTGTATTGCGAATTACATTCTGGTTCAAATGGCCACATATTATTACGTATTTTGGTAAAATTTTCGTTATTTTTTGGGCAAACGAAAGGCCTTTGCCTATCGTCTATTTCTGACATTTCTTTCGTTTATTACGAACGAATTCATTTTCTAAAAACCAAAAATATATGGAAAAATAAAGCTCTTTCGTTGTCACTCACATGAAAATTTATTTTTTCGTTACAAAAACGTAAAGCCAATTTCGTTCGTTATTTTTAAGAACGAAGACAAATTTTCATTTTAGAAAAACAAGCTGTTAATAAAATTTCATTATAAAAATTTAAATATTATTATTTTTAAAGTAGCATCATAAAATAACACAGTAATTCATAAAAAATAATAAATTCGAATATTTATGTGAGACACTGTATGTACGTATGTATGTACATATATAGATTTCGTGCATTGAATTATACTGTAAAAACATTCTAATGTTCGACTTGAATTCAAGTTTCGTTTTCACTGGCGAATGCTATTGAATTAAAGTGTAATGAAAGTGAATTTCAACACTTGAAATTTGAATGTTTGACTGGAATTAAACTTGTTTTAAACTTTAATTCCAGCAAGAATGCTTATTTGGTATAGTGTGACAACTATAAGGGATCTAAAGTCGACATAAGCCCACAATGGTTAGTACCAATATTTTGCCCAAACAACATATACATACCTAGCCAGGTTATATCCTCTAGGTCCGTGAAGACATTCTCTACAAAGCTATAAATTTGTATAAAAGACGGCTTAACAATTGTTTCTTGTAAATATTCGGCCACCATAGTGTTTGGAGACAACAAGAGCTTCACTGAAAGGCACACCTGACAGAAATCGCGCTCTATTATGGGTGTATGGTAGTGATTTTGCTAAGATCAATGGTATAATAATAAGTATGTATCCTAAGGATACCCCCAAATACGGCAATCAGCTTCCTTCCATTGCCTCTAGGTGGTAATATACAATGTCACCACTAGCCGACCGACCACCACCCGCCTAGGTGACTAGGGACGTATACAATTGCCACTCTCTTGTGGGCATTCTTCCAGGAGACCATCATGATGCCTCCTCTTTCTTGAAAAGAAAGACGTTCTTTATAGACAAATAAATAATTAATTAACACCATTACTTACATTTTTTAATCTTCTAGATCTCACAAATATGCCAAATATAGATTTCGATAAACACTTTTCGGTATTAAACGAAAACAAATCCCGCCTGGAAAAACATTTTCATCATAGTTATTAACAATTTAACTAAATTAAACCCAATACTTGCTGTTTCTTTGCACAATGACTCTCGGTATAGTAGTATAGCATACAATCTTATTAATTTCAATTGTTAGTATAAAATTATTTTTTTATTTAAAGAATATCATTTCTGTCATTTTAGATTTTCGCACACACACAACAACAGATTTTTTTTTGCAAATAAAAAATGCAGAAAACATTTTGGCGCGAAAAATTCTAGCAGAATTTATTTTCGCTGTCGGCAGAATTGACATCAACTGCACTTCCCATTTGAAATACACATGTTCGATACCCTATCCCTTTACGGTATGACATACCAGCACCTTTTTAAGGTGTAGCTCCGTTGACGTCAACGAAGCTGGTTTGAAGTCAAAGCAGCGACTCG